TGATTGATGGATCTGATAACATCTTGCTCATCTCATACAAATGCAGAAACTCTACTGCTATGACTAAGAAAATATTTGCATCTTATGTAAGTATTTGGTTTTGCAGGCAAATTAGAATAGAATGTTTGCTGTTGAAGCAGCTTGCGAATATACTTGAGAAATGAATCTTTCCCTGCACTGTCATACATATATTTATCTGGATTACAATGAAAGTCAGGAAAGTTAAGAAATAAAATCCTGGAGTAGTTGCGTGAGTGCTTTATTAGACCTCTTCTGAGATAGAATCAATAAAATCTTCCTCCCTTTTACTACGTAAACTTTTACTGAACCCATGAACTTAAAATTTCTCTAGGGCTTTCACAGCAGTGTGCTGTTTTTAGCTTAAATGACTATGTTGTTAAAACATTTCTTTCTACATATGACTTCGGGGGTATGTATACACTATACAATTAAATATATAGCACCTACAAATGTTCTACTAACCAGACTGCTAATTAGCATGCTGTTTTTATGTAATGCTTCATAAAGCCGTACTTAATGCAACTGGATGACACAGTCATTAAAATGCACCTCAGTAGCTGCTATGTGAGGAATCTCACAGCGGACACAATTCCCCATAGAGATCATCCCTATGATCTCTCATTTGATAGAGGATAATTTGAGCATGATGGTAGAAACACTGTCTGTAATCTCCTCCAAAGCAATAGTCTTCTAGCCCAGCTACCAGTCTCTGGACGGTCACATTCTTCAAAGTCATTAACACAGTATCTATGCTCTAATTGTCACACCATAGCTTGCTTTGCTTTAGGGACCAGAAACCATTGACTACATAGATGCCTGAGACTACAGCTCACCTTACTATTAGTCCATACTGGATAAGCTGATGAGTATTTTAGTCCAAAATGTCTAGTCAATTATTCACACACCTCTTTTAAATTGAGAGGAAAAAAGTCTTATTTCTACTACCAATGCTTATTTCCAGCCTTACAGCTGTGAATCAGCTTTGTTGCCCCATTGTGCTAGATGCCATACACATCAAATTGTCTTCACCCCAAACCAGTAGATGTCATTGACTCCAGTTTTGCATTTTGGGTGGTGAATCTATGCTGGATTTTAGTCCAGACTTCACAAGAGCTATCTAAATTACTGAAATCTATCTCCAAAACAAAACAAATCAGATTAAATTAAATTAATCCAGGGTAGATTATTTCCCATGAAATCCAAAACATATGCTAAAAATGCCTACAGTGGTACCTCGACTTAAGAACTTAATCCGTCTTGGGACTGCATTCCTAAATCGAAACGTTCTTAAATCAAAGCATCATTTCCCATAGGAATTCATTGTAAACCATTTAATCCGTATTTGCTGTTTTTTGTTCTTAAATTGAGGCGCTGTTCTTAAATCAAAGCATTAGTTCCCATAGGAACGAATGCAAAGCCAGTTAATCCATATCTACCACTAGGGGGTGATTTTTTATTTTCTCTTCTTTTGACCTAAGGTGAACTTAGGTCAAAAAAGGGCAGGAAAAGTGTTTTTTTTCCCCCTTTTAAGTCGAGGCTCCGTTCTCAAGTCGAAGCAACTTTTGCGAATGGAGCCGTTCTCCCCCCCCCTTAAGTCGAGGCTCCGTTTTGAAGTCGAAGCAACTTTTGCGAATGGAGCCGTTCTTAACTCGAATCGTTCGTATGTAGGGACATTCTCAAGTCGAGGTACCACGGTATCTGCTTTTTCAATAGTACAATTATTTGAATCAATTAATGGCTGTGATGTAAAAGAATGAAACCTGATGCCCATTAAAGGAACGAGAGAGGTCGTAAGTTTGAATGCATAACATTTGATTTGTGGAATGGGAGAGTTAATAGAATTCTGAAAGGCAGACAATAGCACACAGAAGAGAGAATAAAAACTATATTTGATAGTTGCACCTAACATGTCCATGACTGATCAGTCACCAAGAGCCAAATTAAATGTTACTGTTATTATTAATTTGATTTATAAGCTACTTTTCCTCATAAGAGCCCTGGATAGCACTCTACATAAAAACACACACTTAAAACCACAAATGAGAAATATCTAAAATCACAAATTGTAAATGTCTAATAATATAGAGTGCTGCAAACAAAGAGCAAAACACAAATGAAACACTAGCCTAATCCCAAAAGCTCATACAAACAAATATGTTTTCAACCACATCTGAGAGCATGGGGGACAAGCAGATCCTTAACAGATGGGAATAACACTAACTGTGTCATTTGCTGTCTCATTATTTCTTAACAATTAATAACAGGTGCATGGGAGAAGATGGTATAGAAACCGAAGCACTTAGTGAGGTTGGGTTTTGTTTTGTTTTGTTTTAAACCTTCCCACTGTGGTCCCAACAACATCAAAGCACTTATCCCACAACCAATGGCTATGAGGGGTAACTTTCATTGGTTTATCAGTCAGAGCTAACACCAGAGATGCTGAAACCACTCTGACTGGAAAGTATGAAAAGTTAAGAAAACAATAAATGATTAAATCTCCCCATCTCACATACAGTACCTAAGCCCTGACAAGACCCTATGCATCTATTACGTTGCTTTTTTTAAAAAAAGTGTAGACCAAAATTATATTGGCATAAATTTACACCATGGAAGCCAAGAATGTCACCATCAATGCAAGTAAAATATAATTTAAATTAAAGTTTCCTGTCCCCACCCCCTTGCAGGTTGTGATGTTCCCTAGGCTTCCCTTTTGTCCTGAGGAAGAGGAGCCTCAAGACAGGGATGAGGGACAATTTAATAGCCAAATATTGCCACTGAGCTGCACCTGGAGGTCCTTCTCCTGGAGGCAGCAATCTGGTGGCTATTTTTAAGTAGGAAAGGTTTTCCCCATCCTGAGGTGGGCAAAAGGGAGCCCCAGGAAGCTTTGGAATCTAAAGGGAGAGGATACGAAGGTTTTGATTTCATCAGCACCTGATGATAATACAGTATCGTTGGCTTCTGCTGCGATATATTTACACAAGAGGATTTTGCCAGTACATTACCAAATCATGTATGTAATGTCATGCTAGATTTTTGCTTACACAGACTTTCTCTTACGTAGGACAAACTTAACATCAACATAGGCAGTGAAATACAATATACTGCATTTTGTAGGTTAGCACAGAGAATGGCCAACTTTTTGTTTCATCATCAGGCAATGCAGACTGTTCAAAAGCAACAGATGAAGAATACAGGCTGCATCTTGCCCATTTCTCTTTTAAGAAATGCCATTTTGTAACTTGTAATAGGATTGGACTCATATAACATTGTGGCTACAAAACTTGTCCATATGCTTTGACGTGTCTGTAAAATTGGAAAGAATATCTAGAAACACACAATATATTTCTCAATCAATGTACTGTATGTTTTTACAAAATGCCATTAATCAACATGTTTTAAAAAACAATGTGTACCCTGTATTCATTAATAACATATAGGTTGCACTAACAAACTAAGTTCAAATTTTGGTATGGCATGTCAGAAAGTTACACCACTGGTATTACAAATAATAAATAGGAAGACATCCCCTCTAACTTTTATTTAGAGTTCTGGATTCACTAACAAGCTGCAAACAGAGAAAACTGATTCAAATGAATGAAGATGCCGGGCAATGTTTTAAGGAAGGGGGGTTACACCTCTCTCTCCAAATGGGTCAAGCATGTATAACAAAAGGTGTGGGAGCAGGTGGACAAACCCTGCACTTTGCACATTTAGAAAACAATGGAATGGGCTCTGTATGTACAAATAGAGCCAACACACGTACAAAATTCCTTCATGCATGTGAGAAATTTGGCCCAATCAGAGGGACAAACTGAATGTGATGGCTGCTCTGCATTTGCACACAATGCTTCTTTAAAAAGAGTCATTAGTTTTTTTAAAAAAAAATATCTGTTCAACTCTTCAAGTTGCAACACTGTATCATTTTATTTACTCCTTGGGAGGTAAACAACCAGCTTTGTTTGCATGTTGGGGGAAAAGGAGAGGCTTGAAGGATGCATGTCACCTTCTAATGACAAGCTGAGAGTCCTCTATGGTACATACGTATAAGCCTCCACTAGTACACATCTAGAGTCCATTGTCTTGAGGAGGGTGCAGGACACTATCATATTAGCTGAAATAGGAAATACAGCTGTTGGGTGAATTGCATGGATGCAAAGGGAACCGTGGTTAACCCCTTCTCATGGCTTTTCTGTGGAATGTTCGCCACAGAGATCCTCACCTGGCACTCACATTATGGTACTCTGGTAATTTAGTTCTAAATGAATATGCTTTGACCTTCAAGCATTTTGGGAACTGTATTAATGGCCAACCTTAAATTTTCATCACCTGCTACACTGTCTCTATTGCTGATGGTAGTTTTCTTTTTTGCACTTTCATTGCCATTGCTTTGTTATTTGTACTCAATGTTGTTAGTTTGGCTATACACCACCCAAAAATATAATTTAAAAATGTAACAAACCAATGAAACAACCAATTAAAATGTTGCATGGGGGTCTGAGTGAACCAGACCATGTTCTTTTACAGAGAATGTTTTTAAATAATAAGTTTGCATACTATCACAGAGATTAATCAGTTAATTATTTGTCAGTAAGAATAATTTAAATACTTACTTTGAGCAATTACTTTGAACTCGAGAACAAACACTGCTAAATATTAATTCAAATTTGACTATTTGCAAATGGTGTAATGGGCATGTTCCTTCATTATTCATGATAATTTCAATTACTATTCTGATGTACAAAAAATGAAGAATAAATCACCCTTGTGAGGTATGGGATTGTTTGCTGTGTAATTTTCATGAAATTTGCCTCCCACAGTTAAATCTTGGTGGGCCCATATTGAGCATAAATAAATGTGTGTGTGTGGGTATGGCAATGGGTATGGATGTGAAAGCATTCGGTATGTGCACTGATTATTTGTTTTGTTCAAAGTGAGATGCATATTGGGCAGGGAAATTAACTTTCCAGTATGGTACTTACTGCATTGAAGTTGGGGAAGAGATTGACAGCTGCTGCAGTGTCCAGAGGGAATGGAAGAAAGGGTTTGATATCCAGCGAAGGCTGTAAGGGTGGGGCCGGAGGACGTACCAGGGCTGGAAGAGCTGGGCTCTGGCATGTACCCCCTATATAAACAAAGAGAAAAATAAAGCAACATGGAATCAGAGATAATAGATTTCTGATCTAGCTCATTCTATTTTGGACTGTCTAGTCTACTCTACAGAATACTGGACTAAGTCTTAGGAGACCAGGTTCAAATCTCTACTCAACCATGCAACTCATTGGGTGACCCTGACTCCTTCACACTCTCTTGGCTGGACCCACCTCACAGCATTGTTATAAAGGTAAGTGTGGAGAGGAGGAGAACCATATACATTTCCTTGAGGTCAGTGGTGGGGCATTTATTAAACAAGCAAAAACCAAAACAGTAAGCATCTAAACCTTCTGAAGAAATTAGTGAACAACCTCAACTACCACTTTTTTTTTAGCTTGGTAGCCTAGAAAGATATATTCCCCACTAAGAGCACTTCAACATATGCTCATGGACTCTAAAGAGTATGTGGAGCCTATTGAAACAGTGGCCAAGAACATCTCTTTAATTTATTCCATTTCATGTGGTGGTTGGATGAAGAACCCAAGTACAGGTCCCTATCTTCTACCAAGTCCCATCAGCCCAACAGCATTGATGGGTGTGTTTTTTGAGAACCTCACTGGTGTGGCTTGATGGTGAAGGAGCCCAGTAAAGCTACTCCTCAATTCTTCATTTTACACTTTCACACTTTGGCTCTTAACGGAACAATCTAGAGCAGTGGTCTCCAACCTTGGGCCTCCAGATGTTCTTGGACTGCAACTCCCAGAAGTCTTCACCACCACCTCTACTGGCCAGGATTTCTGGGAGTTGAAGTCCAAGAACATCTGGAGGCCCAAGGTTGGGGTGGAACAATCTAGAGCATCCTTGCCTCTTTTGGCCAGAATGAGATGAAAGACAGCCAAGCAACCAGTCTGCTCTTAATTTACTTTGCAAAAGCAGAGCTTAGGGAACAGGAGGATTGAAGGAGAGACAGAGCAAGCAAGGTACAGTTGAGCACACCTGTCCTCTACCTTACCACTCCAAATCAGTTGTGCTAAACCCCCTTCACCTGGGGGGGGGGGAAATGGCAGTCAGATTCACATGTGTCCATAGGCTCTTAGCTTGGATTGCCACATTGATTCCCCCAGTATGCATTCCCAAGGTGGGCTAAGGAGAAACACAGCAAGAAGTACTGTATAGTTTTCTAACTCCTTCACAACTTTAGAGAAATATTTGAAACACAAATATATGTTTCAGGATATTTATATCACTTTGTGGTGTGTCAGGTATTGCTGGTCAACATGTTTCCCCAATGCACTGCCCCATTTGCAGACACCGAATTGTGGGCAATACAAATTTTGAAATATTTTAGGAGGACAATCCTTTAAAGATGGACTGAGGGTGGAGGTCACATTTACAGGCTTGCAATCAGCAATGTGGCACTTCTTTTTTTCTTTTTCGTTATTAAGACTGTTTTAGTGAAACTACTGGAATCAGCAGCAGCCACTTTTTTTTGTGCCAAGTTTTAGAATGATGTTATATCTGGGCATTCATAGCAGGGAATGATGGCCAGAAGAGGAATGCCAAGTTCTCTGCAAGACACCATGCTGTTTCTTCATTGCTAGACTTTTTACTTTGTTTTTAAAGGAAAACATAGCTATGCCTTTGTCATTGCATGCTGCGCAAAGGGGAACAGAATTGAAAAAGAGAGAGGGAAACTTGTGGTCCTTGTACTTTCTCTCTCTCTTTTTTTTTCTTTTTTCTTTCTGTTGTAACATATAAGATACTCTGAACAGCCCAAGAGAATACCATCTACACACACAAATATTTAACTTTACTCAAGCAGGACTGTAAACTGCAGACAACACCTTCCTCCAACTGCTAGGTAATCCTTTCAATTGGGTTGCAATTGGCTCACCTAGCGTGGAGACAAAATGTTATCCCAATTTTCCTCTGATGTGAGGTTTGTCACATCTCTGTGTGTCTCTGTTCCAAGCGCAAAAAGAACCTTATATTTTGACACAAGGTGATAGAGGGAAGGATGCTGAATGATTAAAAACCTTTTGTTCAACAAGGTTGAAAGAGATATTCTAATCCATGCCACCAGAAGTAAAATCTGAGTCTGTATTTCCTGTTTTGCAACTTGCTTTTGAGAAAGGTCCTGGCACAAACATCTGGCTCGGATTTTTTGAACTTGCATTTTTCTGTACCACTCACAGCTTTATGGTGTCCATGCAAAGTTAAAAGCTGCCTCATGTTTCTGATTTTTAAGTGGTTTAATAATGGTATTACCTACCATTGCCAAAGGGGATTAGACAGATTCACAGAGGTTAGGGCTATCAAGTCAGGATTGCTGCTTATGAACTCCAGTATCAGATGGAGCCTACTTCTCTGCATATTCATTTTTTAGGTGTGTGAGGTACTCGTACAGATGCACTCCTGTCCTCCTGGCGGATCCTTATATGAAACTGCTAGACCACTGTGCAAACAAAATGGCAGACTGGATAGGCCTTCAGTTTGATTATGCATGGTTTTTCTCATGTAATGTTCACATAATAAACTATTTTATGCACAGAACTATGCCTTTTTTCATGGTGCCAGAGTTCCTTCCATGAAATTTGGTGTGAAAGCTACTGTTGAGAATGCATATCTCAAGAATTGTTTCATGTTGCTCTCAACCACATATGTCTATAGACAAAAGTAATATGCTGCACCTTGGGTCTCATTCTCTTATAAAAGAAATGCCTTTGTTTCTCCATGTTTTCAGCAAAAGTAACCCACTGAAAGAAAGAAAGAAAGAAAGAAAGAAAGAAAGAAAGAAAGAAAGAAAGAAAGAAAGAAAGAAAGAAAGAACCAACCAAGCTCTTCAATTTACCTCAGCTTTTTTTTAATTCATGTTACTGACAATTTTAAAGATTGTCTCTTCACTTTTAATATATGAACTAATGTATTTCTCCAAAGCAATCATAGGGCTTTGCAATTAACTTCAAAGGCTAATCTTACTAAGCAGCCTGAAATGCTGGATAAGAACCTGCACTAAAGCAGTTGTTTTTAAATGGAACACAATGTGAGACAAGGCCATTCTTTGAAATTCTGGCCAGTGCAGTTCCTCTGAACAATTGGCAAACCCTTGTGGACTATTGTCATTGCTTCGGGTGATCAAAAATTGCCTTGAAGAACAGCAAGCCTTCTGCTCCTGTTCAGGCTGCTCTTGAACAGTTCTCTGGGCACCGTATGGAAATGAAGCAATTCCTTTGCAAACTGATAAGCAGGCAGCTGGTTCAACATAGACCACAATTTTATTTGTTGTATGCTCCCTGTCACAGAACATAACAAATTCTGTTGTCTGAAAGCTGGGAGTATTCTAGTCTGAACTCTGTTGACAATGGCTCCTATATTTTGGTACACTTCCAGAACATCAATTCAGTGCTAATTAAGCTTTTTTTTGAATCCTGAGAAATTCTTAAAATATGCCTTTATTTATTTAAGCCAACAGGCAAACAACAAACTAAAAACCTGCTGGTAAGAGTCCAACTCTCTGCACTACCACAACAGCCCATGGAGATCTCCCCACCCCAAACCCATTGCAAATACTCTACTGAAAATGGATGGTTAGAAATGTAAATCTTTCAATTGCAATATGCATGTTACACTGTGTGTCAGGACCCAGAAACGGGTCATCAGGTAGAGTTAAGGAATCAGACAATTAGAGATTTGGAGGGTGCCCACTGTGCATCCTAAGATAAAATCCAGACTTTTTGGTCTTGGGCAAGCTGCACACTCCCAGAGTGCACAAAGTCCCACTCTTACTTGACGGCACATAATGATTAATTAGATATGATGTAGTGGTGATGGATGTAGTTGCTCCACCCAGTGGTTCACTTGACAGAGCTGAAGCTTCACTATTTTCAGTATCCTTTCACTTTAGGCTGGGGGTGGGAATAGAGTCCCACTAGGCGAGGCTCTGAGAAGAGGGCTGACGGATGCCTGCCAAACCTGATGCCAGCCCTGTAAACAGATAAGCTGGGCTCAAAGGCTATGGTTAGGTTTACAAGGTGATCCCGAAAGAGTTAAGCTTCCAAGTGGGTACTTCAAAATATTTCAGAAGTGATAAAAGTTCTTCATTTCATTACATTTCTTATTATGAAGCAATTGGAAGGATTCACTTGAAATGTGTTAAAATGTAGCCAGAAAAGCTCTTAACCAGAGCTGCATTTTAATACTTCTAATTGAAAGCTCCCAGTATATGATTGAATTAACTTACTGTATCAAATTATCGGCTCTCCCACTTTGGGTAGAAAATCAGATGGCAACCCAATTAGGTGACCGTGTTGTCTTACTATTTTTTCAGTCACTCTCTTAAAACACCTGACAAAAGTTTTAGTGAAAAGGAAGCATCCATCTTCTAAGTCAAATACATCAATTTATGGCTCATATTTATTTCACACTGTACACTGACTTCCTTGGAATCTCTTATGATTTACAACACTTGTGAAAGTAGAAATTGAATCCGACCTTTAGAAAAGGGCTATTATGGGAGGAGAGACGATAAAAGAATAATACAAGAAGTCAACGCTCATCTTAGGCAACCAGACAGTCATTTATCAGCTGCTTAAATATTGGCTAAATTGACCTGGGGGAGTTCTGGAGCATTTAAAGCAGGGCTGTGAGAAACAAGAGACTTGGCTAGACAGACTGTTTCTTTGATCCAGCACTTCACTGCAATAATCGATCAGAACAAGTGGGACTGGCAACAGAATGCTGCAAACTGAAATGTTCCCCCTTTACTGTTTCAGCTATTCCATCCAGCATAATAGTCAAGTCTAGACGTCCCCAGGAAAGAAATGTGCAAATTTTAAGAATGATACGCTCAGGGGCTATAGAGTCATGTTGTTTGAAAGGCAACTACCCCACTTCAAATAGCGAAGGATGGTGGCGGCAGAAGAACAGCTGTCTCATGATTCCATCCTTGTCCAATTCCATCTTGTCTGTCTCTTAACCTCTTGGCTTAGAGTACTCAGTACTCAGAGTACTCAGAATACTGTAGTCAAAGCC